GTTCTTCAGTAGATTTCTTCCTTCTAGATGCCTCCACTGATATTCTTATCTTTGAATACCTTTGGTATCAACCTGTCAGGATAATTAATGACCAAACTAGATTGATCTTGAGTTTATGAAGTTAGGAAATGAATCTTAGATGATGATGAATTCTGAATACATGTTTTCTTTTCATATCTGGGAACTTTTACAATTATTTCTTTAGGGTATCCTGATGAATTGTTGGTATGGATGGTGATTGTGCAAAATTTCTTACATTGGTTAAAATCAGAGGTCCCTTGTATATCTGAGATTGTATGATTAGGTTCATTGAGCTTTCTCTCTCTCTTTGTGAAGAAGTCACTTTTTCATTGGTCAAAACAGATATTTTATCCATCATCTTGGACATTTGCTCCTTTATCTCTCGTATCTTCTTTTTCTCTTCAACGAACATACAATCTTTGGGCACATAGCTCTCTTCAATACTTGGAGTTCCCTCATGTTGTCATTCCTTGGTTGTGTTATAGTTTACTAGATCATAAAACCTTTTATCCATAATGAATTTTTTTGATAACCCCTCTCGAATCAATACCTTCTGGTTATGTCATGATTATGCAATGTGAGCAAAAGAGAGTAATATAAATAAGTTAGAGTAAATAAAATGTATATAAAAAATCATATTTGTAAATATATCATATCTTCATGCATTAGTTCCATGCTTTGTTTAGAAAAATAACCTAACAGCATGATTTCTAGTTCGCATGCATTTAATAAGAAAATATGATAATATTAAGTAAAATAAAAAGACTCAACATGCTTTTCCTTTGTGTACTTAATCTTTACAAGACTCAATCGGGTTAAGCTTCACCTAGACTCTAGTTCTAAGTTTATTATATGCTGGGTTTTGGCTCTAGAGTAAGAAGAGTCAACAAATTGTCCTTTGTTGGTGTCCCCTTGGACTGCCAAGCCCTTAATCCTAGTCCATTATAGACTTTTGGATTAAGTTCAATTCAAAGGAACACTGATGTAAGGAACTTGTACCTCTTCAATTGATTGTGGATCTATGAAAGAAGCATAACAACCTGCATAAGTGAATGGCTCAAAACAAATGGTTAAGGGTGGTAAACGTATGGTGAATAGGTAGGCTATTTAATAAATGAGAGATGGAAGAGGAAGATGATTGATATGGCTATGGGTTTGGTTAATGAAACAATGGGATAGGTGTGAGGATATTATCTAAAAGAAGACTCAAAGAAGAACCAATGCTATACAGAGTAAAGATCCAAACTTTATATTGCTTCTTTAAGGGGTGGTATAAAGGACTTTGACCCACTAGTTATAAGAACTAGGAACTAGAATGATCAAGGGGAAAGGGGTTGATGCCACAAGTATGAAATACTTAATAAGTCGATAAAAGTCACCAGGACTAAAGAAAGAGAATAATCTCACTTATATTAATCGAAAAAGATCTGATTACAAATGAAATATGCTTTCCTATTTATAGGAAATGGAGAGGCATGGTCGAATGATTACAAGGGGTTTCGGCCAGCCTTGTGTCTTCCTATAGAGTCATAATTTAATTTAAAATAGAGATGATAGTTCAGTTTAAATGGAGGGTAATAACCCTTGGCCGAATAACTCTTATGTCCCTTCAAGTTGGTGTCAATTAGATGAGAGATGATGTTTGGCCGAATAAAGAGAATGCTCTTCATCTTGGCGCATAAATGATACCAAATGCAATGCACATGGGGGCTGCTCATATGGCACGTACATGGGTGTTCTAGGGAGCCTTGTGGTGTAGCCTTATACATAGGATGATGACTGGTTATGTGCTCCATCTTGGGCGTGCATGTGTCTCTTTCAAGCTTGCTTGAGTGTGGAGCTAGCTAGCAAGCATGGGGCTGTTTTAGAACAAGCTTCCTAGTAGAGTCCTAGTAAGCTCCATAACATCATGTTCATCTACATTCAACTACTATTGATATCACTTTTGGCAACTCAGCTCCAAATTGTCCAACTAGCTGAGTTTAGCTAGCCTTGAGCTCCTCTAGCTGAATTGAGCTTTCCTTAGTGTTCCATGAGCTGCCATATACTTTGTGAGCTATTTGTGAGCTGCATATGATGTCCAAATAATCCACCAAGCTACCTCAACGTGCTTCACACTCCAATGTACCTACAGGTGCAAGGAAACAAAGTAAGTCCATGACATTGAGCTAATATGAGCTAAATACCTTGTTGCCATGTATGATTATGGTAATGTGAGCTATGTTTGAAGGTCATAAGCTAATTATATCATCTCATAATATGTGTGAGCTAATGCATAAAGCCTAAGAGCTAATATGAATGCAAATGAACTAATGAAATGAATTATAAGTATGCTGCCTTGATGTATATGTGATAATCATGCTTTAATATGATTATAAGACTATCCTAACATGCTTAACATATTAAAATTACAATGTATATGATGTGTTCATACTAAGTTATTCATTAATTACATAACAAGTATTCTTATCATGAAATGTATTATAAAAGCATATACTATATAACTAATATTAAGTACATTCAATATAAAGATGTTCAAGAGTACTCCCTTTATAGGTGAAAATGTGCTTGCATCATCCCCCCCTTCTTTAGGGCGATTTGTCCTTAAATCGAGTTCATTATGTCCTTACATAGCTTCACGTCTTTTTGCTAAAAGAAAACACCCTTTGAACATTTGTGTTCTTCTAGTAGGTACCCTTTTGTAAGATTTCCCTTTAGGCCTTTCTTTAGAACATTATTTACCAACATCTACCTTTTGGGAGTGATCTTCTTTTAAGGATATCCCTTTTGGAATTGAACCTTCACGTGGTTGGTTCTGAAAAAAGAGAAGATAATAGGTTTTAAATGAAGGGTTACTTACCTTTTGGTGATTAAGTCCCTTGGTGAAGAGTTGTGACTTTAAATTCCAACCATCACCACTTTTCGTAGGAGACCCTTTATTTTTCAGCAATGAATCATCATGTTGCTTCATGAAGAAATTGGATTTCATGTTTTGTCCTTCTTCACTTTTCATTGGTGGTTTATCTTTATGCCATGCTTGTATACTCTTTCGCATATGCAATTGTTCTTGTTGTACCTCTTTTGGCGTCAAAGGCCTTAAGGTTACCTTGCATCATCATGCTTAAAAGTGTATTGATTGTGATAACAATCATGAATGGCCCTTTTGTCATACTGCCATGGTCTTCTGAGTAAGATGTGGCTAGCATGCATAGGGACAATGTCACAAAGTACCTCGTCCTTGTACCTACCAACTGAAAAAGGAATTAGAACCTATTTGGTAACATTGAACTCACCTCCTTCATTGAGCCATTGGAGTTTTTATGCAGTGGGATGCTTTGATGTTGCCAAACCAAGTTTTTCAACCATAAGAGTGTTGGCTACGTTTGTGCAACTCCCTCCACCGATAATCATTGAGCAAACCTTGTCCTTGACATGGCATCTTGTATGGAAAATATCATTTCTTCAAAGATATCAACCACTATAGCAAAACAAGTATATAGCGGCGTTTGTCGCGGCATTTTCAAAGCAAACGCCACTAAATTTGTACATATAACGACGTTTATATCCAAAACGCCACTAAATGATAACATTAACGGCGTTTTTCAACAAACGCCGCTAAAACTCGTACTTTAGTGGCGTTTATTCGACAAGCGCCGCTAAAGATAAGTACTTTAGCGGCGTTTTTTTTAAAAACGCCGCCATAGAATCGTTCTTTAGTGGCGTTTTTGAACAAACGCCGCAATAGGGTACATATATTGTGGCATTTTTAGATAAACGCAGCTAAAACCTAGTACTTTAGAGGCATTTTATGCAAAAACGCCGCTAAAACTTGTACTTTAGTGGCGTTTGTAAACAAACGCCGCCATAGAATCATTCTTTAGTGGCATTTTTAAACAAACGCCGCAATAGGGTATATATATCGTTGCGTTTTTAAATAAACGCCGCTAAAACCTAATACTTTAGTGGCATTTTATTCAAAAACGCCGTTAAATACTCATACTTTAGTGACGATTTTAGAAAAATGCCGCTAAAACCTAGTACTTTATTAGCGTTTAACCATTAACCCTTTCTCATTTTTCCCCCCTTAACCTATTTTTTCATTCCCGCCGTTTACCCAAACCCATATGATGCTTCTTCGCCAATCTCACTTTAAGCAACGCGAAACAATTGGTTTATTTGTGGGAAAAACGCCAATAAAGCGATTGAAATTTGTAATAAACGCAATAAGACAGATACCCACTTTTCTCTTTCAATTTACTTCTTACTTCCCAAAATCTGGCAACCGTAGAAGGACTGAGGGCTCGTTCATCCTTTAAACCTGAAATCTTTGATATTAACAGCAACGACGAAGCATGTAGGCCTTGGCATCACAGGTCGTCAATGGCTTTCACTTGGGGCTCCTCTCTCAGAATCACTCTTCTTCTCCTCCTTCTTGCTGCTATCGTTTTCTCTTGTTATTTCTTCATATTTTTTTCACATACAAGTGAGATTTATAATATTAATTGATAAAGTAAATACTATCTAAAAATATAACATTTAAATTTATATATAATAATATTTTATTTATTTATTTAAAAATAAAAAATATTAATTATATCAAAATTAAATATAAATAAATAAATTTCAATAAAATATAAAATTACACCTCGTATTCATTTTGAATTATACTTTATTATAATTTAATTTTTATTATTATATGACAATTAATATAAAATTTAAATAGACAAAACCTTATAAATATTAAATTACACCTTACATTCATCTTAAATTTTAATTCTATTACAATTAAAACTATTCATAGTTTTAGATAAATAATAGTTATTGTTCTAAATTATACTTTTACTATAAATTAAATAAATTAAAATCATAAGATAAATAATATATTAATATTGAAATTTACAAGTAATTAAAAAAATAATTAACCACATAAATACACCTGTAATGTTACTTTGTAAAGAAAGGGTCATTCAACAACTTTTGCTTGTCCTTTCTATTTTTATCAGAAAAAGAATTGAACAATGGAACACGAAACTCAGCAGCAAGGAAATCCTAGTAACCCAACTGCCGATCAAAATGCTGCTTTGATCAACTCCTTCATCGAAATCACTTCTTCTTCCAAAGAAGAAGCCCTCTTCTTTTTGGAATCCCACCAGTGGGACCTGGACGCCTCCGTTTCCACCTTCTTCGACAGCAATTCTACCGCCGTACAACAACCGCGCTCAATCGCGCCTCCCGTCTCCGGCACCGTTAACAACTCTCCGACTTCCTCACCCTCTGATTCTGCTGATTATTCTCCCTCGCAATCGCCTTCTAGGTCCCGCTCCCCTTCTCCTGCCCACCCTTCTTGCCCCCTTATACGCTTAGGTCGCGCCGCAACGCTGATAAGAAACCGTCTGGTAGTGACGGAAGCAACGCTCATGGCGTTCGTACCCTCGCCGATCTGAACCGGTCCCCTCCTGGTGGGTCCGACAGCGATTCCGATGAAGGCCAGGATTATTTCATCGGCGGTGAAAAAAGGTACAACTCTTTTACCGTGGCCTTCATTTTTTGTTAGGATTTTTTGTTTTGCTTCTTTAGTTTGTTTATCTGGGTGAGCAGTGGGATGGTGGTTCGAGATCCTTCGAAGCATCACGATGTGGACTCGATTTTTAATCAAGCGAGACAAGCAGGAGCGATGGAAGGATCTGATTATATTGCACTTTATTGCTTCTAGCTATGCACTGGAGTTGTTAAGATTCTAGGAACTAGAGTTGAAGTTGCCTTGAAGGTAATATTCTAATCTTCGATTCTAGATTTAATTGTATTTTTCATGATAAAGTTCCATTTTCATGATAACCTATATAAATATTTCAGGACTTCAGACATGGGACAGACATCCCCGTGCATTCTATAACTTATTTGGGTAGGCAGATAGGGTTGAGAAGGTTGCTGAAACCATCCAAAGATTGGTAGGGTTCGAGATTCCTATAATATATTTTGAAAGGTTAAAATAGTTGTTGTGTTAAACTGTTGCAAAATGCTGCATATTACAGGAACAGGGTGATCTGAAGCTTAGAGTGCAGACTTTGGAAGCTGAAAGGGCTTTCCAACGTGTTAATGTTGTTCAGAAGACAATAGGAAGTGTGAGTTAAATTTTATAATTATATATATATAATTTTTTTCTTTTTATCTAATTTTATAGTTTGGTATATGTTTTTAACCATGAAACCATTTAAAATTCCTTTAAACATTATTTTGCACTGCTGAATTATTGGCTTTCCCATATTTCCAAGTGGATGCAGGAAGTTTCTTTTTCTTTGGGTAACATTAAGTTCTCTTACATGCATCCTTCCATAGGTTGGCAACTTGTTAGCTAGGGATGTAGGCCCCGCATGATCCCCTTCCCCTACTGTACTTGCATTCCCTTGGCATTCTGTTCTAATGGGGTATTCTAGAGAATTTCGAAAGTGATGGGATTTTTGACAATGGAGTTCACGAGTTGCATGATGTGCATGCTTTTCATGTAATCGTTGTAATGGTTTCGATGGTACCAGTTGCAAAGTTGGGGTAAATATAAGCCAAGATTTATGAGGAATACAAGATTAAGTAGGGTCATGAATTCTTAAGGATTTCAGTTCTCCCTAGCTTTCCAAATATTATCTGTTAGTGCAATTACCCAGTTGGTTTTTCCCTCTATGTTGATGAAAACAAGTTTTCTTTGCAGATTCTGAAGGATTTTCTGTTATGGGTTGATAAGGATCTTGGACCTTGGGGTCCACTTGTGATATAAGTCACATTGAAATCCTCCTGTAATTTCTTTACGCTTTCATTAGCATCTATTTTTTTGTTTACTTTATGCATTGCATTTGATTTGCTATTGTACCAATCTAATAAACGAAATATATATTGTTCATTGTTGTCAAGACATTTTTCAACTAATTAGTTGTGAATAAAAATATCATAATGTTTTCCTTTCAACTTATATTTCTTTGTTGACTTGCAGGGTTGTTGCTTACTTTCCTTTCACACTTAAAGCTTTTGCATTGAAAGCCACTGTTCAGGTATTTTATAGTGTACTGGTTCATTAAAATAAAGAAATATGCATTTCAACGCAGAAGAGAGTGTGTATACATTCTGTCCATCGCTCTTATTAATAAATATATGTGCATCAATAACAAAATGGTTCAGCGAGATCTAGATGGAAATCGATGTTTCAAGTGATGAGCATTGACTTTTTATTTACTTCCTAATCTTTCATAATCATAATTATTTATAGTTAATTTTGGTAAGTAGCTTGTATTTCATAATTTTCATTTGATATTATATTAAAACAAGAAAATTGTAAGATTTCTTTTATCTTCTTGTGGAAAATTCACCATTAACAAAGGTAGCAAACCTTTGTATATGTTGTTTATCTTAATTAGGAACAAGTACAACCCTTTTCTAGGTTCATAACAGTTCCATGAATTATGCGCTCCTTTCTTTTAAACATTGCTTTCAAAGTGCTCATATTTGTCTACTTGAATGGTTTATTTAGTGTCCCTAGGTTTTCTGTGACCGATAATTTTAGGCTTTCGACTAACTATGTAAATTATACAATTTGATTCAACTAACTTTTGTCAAACTTCCTGTTCTAGGACATGGCAGGGTTGATAGGCCATGAATTAGAGATTAGGCTTGAGGAGTACAGTAGTGGGCAGCCTCCAAATATAACACATTTCTTCTTTCCCCTTTTCTGTATGACGAGAACTTTGAGTTTTATCACTAGTTCACTACTAGTGATGGTTGTAAATGGTCTGTTTGTGTGGTATAGACTACAAATTGTTCTTTCCCATCTTAGGTGTTATTATTGTTTATTCTAGTTAACAATGTTGAATTACATTATATTTTACGTAATTTAAACTTTGATTTATTATTATGGATTTCAAGTTTCTTGTTATGGATTTCAAGTTTGTTGTTATGGATTTCAAGTTTGTGTCTTAATTAAAATTTATGGTTGTTAATTAGATAAAGCTAAATGATATTAAATTTAGGTGTTGTAGAGCAGAAATTAAATATGCAAAATCAATTAATATTAACTAATGAAAGGTAATTAGCGACGTTTGTATAGAAAAATGCCGCTATAATTCTCGACCTTTTGCGGCGTTTGTTCCAAAAACGCCACTATAGATATGAACTTTTGTGGCATTTGTTCCAAAAACGCCGCTATAAATCTCGACTTTTAGCGGCGTTTGTTCCAAAACGCCGCTATAGATCTCGACCTTTTGCGACGTTTTTTCCAAAAATGCTGCTATAAATCTCGACCTTTTGCGGCGTTTGATCCAAAAACGCCGCTATAGATCTCGACCTTTTGCGGCGTTTGTTCCAAAAATGTCGCTATATATCTCGACCTTTTGCGGCATTTTTTGTTATCAAACGCCGCTAACTTTAGCGACGCTGGTATTACCGGCGCTTCTTGCGGTGTTTTTTCTATTGCCGCGATTACTTTTAGCGGTGCTTAAAAACGCCGCTATAGGACAATAAAAACGCCGCTAAAGCTCTGTTTTGTTGTTGTGAACCATGGTCTGCATTTTCTTCAGTTTCTTCATCTTGTATTGTTTCAGGTTCCTCGTCAAAAATCGGCTCCTCAGAATCTGATACAATATCTCCATTGTCAAGTATTATCATGGCATTTCGGTTGGGACATTGACTAGCAACATGTCCTTTCCCAAAACATTTAAAACATTTGATGTCTTTGGATCTCTCGAAAGTACTGGTTTACTTCTCTTTACCCTTGCTAGATTTGCCCACTTGTTGAGTTTTGGAAACTTCTATAGGATCCTTAGCTTGTGCTGGAATTGGTTTCCTGAAGGTGATAGGCTCTTGCTTCCATTTGGTGGCCGAACTTGGGCTGCTCCGATTGTAGGTTTTTTCTTTTGAGTTGTCGTTCAATTTTCATGGCCACATGTACCATCTCTTCAATCTCTACAAAATGTTGAAGTTCAACAAGGTTAGCAATATCAGGATTTAGGCTAGATAAAAACCTTGCCATGGTTACTTCTCTGTCTTTATCAACATTGGCTCGGATCATGGCTATCTCTATTTCTTTGAAATAATCTTCAACGCTCTTACTTCCTTGTTTTAGATTTTATAGTTTATGATAAAGATCTCGGTGATAATGAGTAGGCACGAACCTTTTTCTCATAATGGCCTTAATTTCTTCCCATGTAGTGATGGGGCGTTCACCATTTTGTCTTCTTGAACTCACCAATTATTCCCACCAAACTAGGGCATAGTCCACGAATTCCATAGCAGCAAGCCTGACCTTCTTTTTCTCCATATAATTTTGGCATTCAAAAATGTGTTCGATCATGATTACCCAATCAAGATAGGCTTTAGGATCAGTTCTTCCTTGAAATGGAGGAATGGTTACCTTGATGTTGCTGAAGTTGTCATTCAAATTTCGATGAGCATCTCTTCATGCTACTGATGTTACTTCAGCCTCATCTTCTTCAAATTCTTCTTTCATTCTAGGGCGATTTACTCTTCGGTTGCCTAAGGATGCTTCAAATTGATCAATACGATCATGCAAAGGCCTCAATTCTAATTTTAGTAATCTGGCCATTTCAAGCATGATTACTTGAGTTTTCAAATTAGGGGTTTCTCTTTCACGGGTTCATCCTGGAATTCGAGACATGGTTAGTGAAATAAGAAAAGAATAAGATGTATAAAAGACCTTACCAGAATATACTCTCACAAAGCCTCACGAGTCACTCCAAGGAAACTTGAATGTCACTCAATCCGCTCGTGTTTGCACTCTAGGACTTAATGGCTTTTACTTATCCTCTTCTGATCTCACACACGCTCCATCCTTTTTCCTCTCAATTCTCTTGTCCCAAGTTCTAGAGGACTTTACTCAAAACCGTATCAAGTAAATTTTACTTGTTTGGCGTCGGCTGCAAAAGGGTTAGTAGGAATGGAAAACAAAATATAATGAAAGGGTGGCGTAGAAATAGAAAGAAGAGAACAAAAGGGGTTACTTACACAAGTCACTTCACAACCTTCTATTACCGCAATCAATTTAAAAAGGCTTACTTGAATGGCTTGGTGATGAGAATTGTTGATGAGTGCTTCAACTTTCTTTCTTTTCTTTTATTTGCTTTTCTTCTTTTTGAGTGCTTTCAATTTCTTCATTTGAGTGCTTTATTTTTCTTTGCTGGATTTTTCTTGATTTCTTTCACTTGCACTTTTTTTTGTATTTTTCTTTTTGTTGTTGTTGCACGTTGTTTTCTTATACCAAAGCTCTGATTCCACTTCATGTAAGGCACTTGTACCTCTTCAATTGATTGTGGATCTAGGATGGAAGCAAAACAACCTGCATAAGTCAATGGTTCAAAACAGATGGTTAAGGGTGGTAAACGTATGGTGAATAGGTAGCCTATTTAATAAATGAGAGATGGAAGCGGAAGATGATTGATATGATTATGTGTTTGGTTAATCAAACAATGGGATGGTTGTGAGGATAGTATCTTAAAGAAGACTCAAAGAAGAATCAATGCTATAGAGAGCAAAAACCCAGACTTTATATTGCTTCGTTAAGGGGTGGTATAAAGGACTTTGACCCATTAGTTATAATAACTAGGAACCATAAGTATCAAGGGGAAAGAGGTTGATGCCACAAGTATAAAATACTTGATAAGTCAATAAAAGTCACCAGAACTTAAGAAAGAGAAT